CATATTCCAACACTTATCCACCAGTATTATTCGGTATGCATGATGCCAGCCCTGCAAGCTGACACTCATATTTTCTCCTCAGTTCCTCTCAGTATGACTGAGCCACAGGCAGATCTAACGTTTAGGTAACTGCAAATAATTAAATGTTACAGCGAATAGTGTCATATAGAGTATATTACACAAGGATGGATGTCAATCTTATTTTCTTGAATGAAGGAATAAAAACACGGTACTCACAGCACAGCTCTATACTGTGTCGAAATGTCTAAATGACAATATGGGCATGTGGGCTGGTTTATGTTAAAATGGGTTATGAGTGGGTTACATGTGGGCTGGTTTATGCTAAAATGGGATATGAGTGGGTTACATGTGGGCTGGTTTATGTTAAAATGGGTTATGAGTGGGTTACATGTGGGCTGGTTTATGTTAAAATGGGTTATGAGTGGGTTACATGTGGGCTGGTTTAGGTTAAAATGGGATATGAGTGGGTTACATGTGGGCTGGTTTATGTTAAAATGGGATATGAGTGGGTTACATGTGGGCTGGTTTATGTTTAAATGGGATATGAGTGGGTTACATGTGGGCTGGTTTATTTTAAAATGTGATATGAGTGGGTTACATCTGGGCTCTGGGCTGGTTTATGTTAAAATGGGATATGAGTGGGTTACATGTGGGCTGGTTTATGTTTAAATGGGATATGAGTGGGTTACATGTCTCTGATCAGATTTCCCAGCTACCCTTGGGTTGTTATCGAAGTGACGTGATTTTTCCATTTGTTCCATATCTGATCAATGATGGATTGTTTTGAACTTATCCTATACAGAAAACAAAGATGTTCAAAGAGTTCACCAAAGGTTTCTCTCACTTTGCCCTGAGAACTTCTCTCCGACAGAGACTTGGAAGATGCAAAACTGAGACCAGCATCAAACCACTGAATATCACAAGGGTAAACCTATTCTAAAATTAACTGATAGATATTAATTTATCAACTAATTATGAACTAATATCAGACTTAATCTGAGCTGTGGTTTATGGTAGTGACGACGTTTGTTTAGCCACTTACGGTAGGTGGCAGTTTCTCATGGTTTACTGTCTAGTGAAAATCTCACATTTAAAAGTTCATATTCTGTTAACTCATATCCAAATAATGTTGTTGACTCATCCTATATTAGTATTTGTGGCCAAAGCATACATTTGAATAAACACACTTCAAAAACCCCACCTCAAACTTGTATCTCAAACAGACCGTTTCAAAAATGCTTGCTATTTCCTCATAGAGGATGATGTCATGGAGGATGAGCCGGCCAATCAGTGGTCTACTGGTATGAATTCTTTTTATGACCGGTATATGCCCACATCATTCTGTTGTTGGGGTACACCAACACCATTCCAACACAGAAAATCTGCTTTTTAATATACTTAATTACAATTTTTTGGAAGGAAAACTATTTCACTCATATTGTCATTAATTATAGGTCATATTTCATAGAAATCTGGAAACACTGGACAGTTTGACATACTATATGACCAACATTTGTCCAAGAAAACTCAGATACAGTGCCTTGCTAAAGTATTCATCCCCCTTGGCGTTTTTCCTATTTTCTGTAATGGACATACACAAAATAGTTCAAAATGGTGAAGTGACATTTCTAAAAATTCAAAAAAATAAATTAAGGAAAAGTGGTGCGTGCATATGTATTCACCCCCTTTGTGACTTGTGTTGCTGGGCCAGAGACAGTGTTATATTTTATTGTCACATACACCGGATAGGTGCAGTGAAATGTGTTGTTTTTGCATGCTCTACCAACTGAGCTACAGGGGACAATACAGCCTTCAGCAGCCCAGTACAGCCTTCAGCAACCCAATACAGCCTTCAGCAACCCAGTACAGCCTTCAGCAGCCCAGTACAGCCTTCAGCAACCCAGTACAGCCTTCAGCAACCCAATACAGCCTTCAGCAACCCAATACAGCCTTCAGCAACCCAATACAGCCTTCAGCAGCCCAATACAGCCTTCAGCAGCCCAGTACAGCCTTCAGCAACCCAATACAGCCTTCAGCAACCCAATACAGCCTTCAGCAGCCCAATACAGCCTTCAGCAGCCCAGTACAGCCTTCAGCACCCATACAGCCTTCAGCACCCAATACAGCCTTCAGCAGCCCATACAGCCTTCAGCAGCCCAGTACAGCCTTCAGAAACCCATACAGCCTTCAGCACCCAATACAACCTTCAGCAACCCAATACAGCCTTCAGCAGCCCAATACAGCCTTCAGAAACCCAATACAGCCTTCAGCAACCCAATACAACCTTCAGCAACCCAATACAGCCTTCAGCAGCCCAATACAGCCTTCAGCAACCCAATACAGCCTTCAGCAGCCCAATACAGCCTTCAGCAACCCAATACAGCCTTCAGCAACCCAATACAGCCTTCAGCAACCCAATACAGCCTTCAGCAACCCAATACAGCCTTCAGCAGCCCAGTACAGCCTTCAGCAAGCCCCTAAATAAGATCTGGTGCAACCAATTACCTTAAGAAGTCACATAATCAGTTAAATAAAGTCCACCTGTGTGCAATCTAAGTCTCACATGATCTGTCACATGATCTCAGTATATATACACCTTTTCTGAAAGGCCCCAGAGTCTGCAACACCACTAAGCAAGGGACACCACCAAGCAAGCGGCACCATGAAGACCAAGGAGCTCTCCAAACAGGTCAGGGACAAAGCTGTGGAGAAGTACAGATCAGGGTTGGGTTATAAAAAAATATCAGAAACTTTGAACATCCCACGGAGCACCATTAAATCCATTATTTAAAAATGGAAAGAATATGGCACCACAACAAACCTGCCAAGAGAGGGCCGCCCACCAAAACTCACGGACCAGGCAAGGAAGGCATTAATCAGAGAGGCAACAAAGAGACCAAAGACAACCCTGAAGGAGCTGCAAAGCGATTGGAGTATCTGTCCATAGGACCACTTTAAGCCGTACACTCCACAGAGCTGGGCTTTACGGAATAGTGGCCAGAAAAAAAGCCATTGCTTAAAGAAATAAATAAGTAAACACGTTTGGTGTTCGCCAAAAGGCATGTGGGAGACTCCCCAAACATATGGAAGAAGGTACTCTGGTGAGATGAGACTAAAATTGAGCTTTTTGGCCATCAAGGAAAACGCTATATCTGGCGCAAACCCAACACATCTCATCACCCGGAGAACACCATCCCCACAGTGAAGCATGGTGGTGGCAGCATCATGCTGTGGGGATGTTTTTCATCAGCAGGGACTGGGAAACTGGTCAGAATTGAAGGAATGATGGTTGGCGCTAAATACAGGGATTTTCTTGAGGGAAACCTGTTTCAGTCTTCCAGAGATTTGAGACTGGGACGGAGGTTCACCTTCCAGCAGGACAATGACCCTAAGCATACTGCTAAAGCAACACTTGAGTGGTTTAAGGGGAAACATTTAAATGTCTTGGAATGGCCTAGTCAAAGCCCAGACCTCAATCCAATTGAGAATCTGTGGTATGACTTCAAGATTTCTGTACACCAGCGGAACCCATCCAACTTGAAGGAGCTGGAGCAGTTTTGCCTTGAAGAATGGGCATAAATCCCAGTGGCTAGATGTGCCAAGCTTATAGAGACATACCCCAAGAGACTTGCAACTGTAATTGCTGCAAAAGGTGGCTCTACAAGTTTTAAGTTTTTTTGTCTTATTTCTTGTTTGTTTCACAATAAAACATATTTTGCATCTTCAAAGTGGTAGGCATGTTGTGTAAATGAAATGATACAAACCCCCAAAAAATCCATTTTAATTCCAGGTTGTAAGGCAACAAAATAGGAAAAATGCCAAGGGAGGTGAATACTTTTGCCAGCCACTGTACCACAAACTATTTCCAAGCTGTGTGTTCTTCTGTGTATTCATTTCATGTCTTGCTGTATGCTATTGCGTCTGCATGAATGAGAATAATATTGCTTCAGACAGGAGCAAAAGGAGACATGGGTTTGTGTAGGGTGCACACACATCATCTTGTGGTCTTGTTGCTATGGCAACACTTCCTTGTCATGTTGCTATGGCAATACTTTCTGTGCAGTTAGGAAAGTGGCAGTCAGTGCAAAGCAAGTAGGTTCAGAGAAGAACACTACCGGAACCCTTCTTCAGTGATCTATCAATGTCTCTTTTGGAATCTTTTAATGAACTGAAGCAATAGGGTCTGCTAAAGATCACAGGTTTTATGCCAACAACAAATATTTTACTTTATATATTAAATCATTGTGTTTCTGATTGTTGTTTCCCAAAGCAGATGTATTCACTGGTTTATGTCTGTGCTTACAGGGTCTGACAGTATCTGATGGAGGTGAGCTGAAACATGGAGACATATTTAATTTGCTGAACATGTTACACCAGACCACGGTTCTTCTGCTTCCTCCCAGTTATACATATGGATGGCCAGCCTCATCCACCTGTACACACACACACACACACACACACACACACACACACACACACACACACACACACACACACACACACACACACACACACACACACACACACACACACACACACACACACACACACACACACACACACACACACACACACACACACACACACTCTCACACACACACACGCACACACACACACTCTTTCTGCTGAGTGCTCAGAATGGTTGTAGATCATAGCTACATGGGAATCAGTGAATGGCTCTGTAGCACATGGTGTCCTTCTCTCTCAATGTATTTCACTCACATAGGCTAAACAGTGTTTACTGTTTGTCAAAGAGAAAGCATGCACTGTCTATTGGGTTGACATGCCTGTCTGGCTCTGAGGTTCAGGGGTTACCACAATGACTTCTTCCTCAATAGCTGACAGCTATATGTACATTTTCACAATTCTCCAATTTAGACAGTGATAAGATTCAAAGTTTTCTTTATTCAAAATCACGTATTTCAAAGTGAAGCATACATTGTCGTTTCTGTATTACATCCAGTACAGCCCTGTTGTTAATGTCTTCAGAGTTGAATGTGGTGCCAGAGGAGCGTGGGGCCAGTGTAGGCCTGTGTTCCAGCAGTAACTCCAGTCTCCCCACCGTGCCCAGTGAGGGAGCCAGTGGTGTGGGGAAGGTGACCAGCTCGGCTGTCAGTCCTGCAGGACCCAACAGGTGCCCTCTACTTCACGGTGAGGGCTCAAACTGACCGTACACATTGTTTTTGTGCTTGTCTGTTTATGGGTCTTGTGTGTTTGTTTCAAGGAGGGCCCATTGTTTTGAAGAGATAAATGACATTGTCAGCCCAACCGTTTAGATTACATCACTTTAGATTACACGTTTTTATCTGAAGTGATCGCTCCTATTTGAAAGCATTTTACTGACTAGGAGACAAAGCAAAGCTCTGCCACAAAGATTGATTGTCAAATTGCCCAAGAAATTAGAAGGAGAAAGAGGCCCACGCATGAGTCACTTAAAAGGCACGAACCGCGTGGGCGTCTGATTTTCTCCTTAGGGGTGGAGGACTTATGGGAAAAGAGATGAGATTTGCCAGTCTGGATTTTGAGGCCTGTGGAGAGTAGAGGGATGTGTGTGTGCTTGACAGAAATATCAGAGTAAACAATATAAGTCAAATATAAAGTAGTGCTAAGGTTTAATTGCAGTTCTCAGACAGAGTCAAATCAGGCTGAAGATGATGCCTGCTGATAATGTATTGTGGCTGCTGGGTAGAAATTGGTGGCAGAAATGTTTTTCTGTTTAAACCGACAGGCTTTCCTGAAGTCGGAGGTCAGTGCTGAGAACATCTTATTTTGGCAGGCATGTGAGAAGTTCCGACAGATCCCAACCAATCAGAAAGAGAAGGTACTTCACAGATTAAAACGGATTTGGAGAGTTTCAAGATGACTCTGTGTGCTATTCTAAGAGGGGTCTCTGTGAGTCAGGGTCTGACCATTATTTCTCTTCTGTCCAGTTGAACCAGGAGGCTCGCTCCTTCTACAACAACGACATCTCAGGCAGTGCCTCCCATCCCATCAACGTAGATGACACAGTCCGCATCGAGGAACGGTCTTGTGAGAAACCCTCACCCTGACATGTATCACAATACCCAACAACAGGTCCACCACCGTGGACACATCATTATAAAGTATATTCAAATGTAATTCCATTTAGCAGACTTTCTAAAGCAACTTACAGTCATGCGTGCATACAATTTTTACGTACGGGTGACCCTGGGAATCGAACCCACAATCCTGGCGTTGCAAGTGCCTTGCTCTGTCAACTGATTCATACAGGACAATATAATCTACTGTACCAAGGCTCACTAGAAAATAATGAAATATTCCTCTATTCCCTTACGGTAGTAAGGCCATTTATTGCTGTGGGAAACACAGTAGGAAAAATAAGAAATGCCCATGAAAACTGAGTTTAGTTACAAAGATGGTTGTGCTGCCTGACTTGACGAGGCTTCTCCTCTGTCTCTCCCTCACTTTAGATCTTCAAGCTGATGAAGTATGACAGCTACATTAACTTCGCTCCCAGCTCTACCAGAGTTGCATGTTGGCCTATGTGGAGGGCAGGCCTCTACCTGAGCTGGGACCCTGCTCGAAAAGCACAGCAAACAGGAAGACTGCTGGGACTGACAGCGCCTATCTCAGTGACAGGCACAAGGCTGACCAGAAACCCCAAAAGGTACTGTACAGTACTGTGAAGCTTGGCTATAATGTTTGTGCATAAACCAACTCATGACTGATTGTTCTTAGAAACCAAAGGTCAAACCAGGAAAGTCTCTTCCTTTGGATGTGGACGAGGGAGCAGAGAAGAAGATTAAAGCTCCACAGAACAAGCTAACCAGAGAGAAACGCCAGGAATAGAGGGGCTTGTGGGGAGGTATAATACAATGGGGATAGCATTGGTTCAGAGTTTACGGTACAGTATATGACGTTTCTGGTACGGTTTCTGGTATATTGAAAAAAGGGTTATTCGGTTGTCCCCATAGGAGAACCCTTTTTGGTTCTGGTTAGAGCCTTTTGGTTTCAGATAGAACCCTCTGTGGAAAGGGTTTTACATGGAATCCAAAAGGGTTCGACCTGGAACCAAAAAGGGTTCTTCAAAGGGTTCTCCTATAGCACCTTTTTTTCTAAGAGTGTATACCTGCAGCTGAATATAATGTACCCCATTCCCTTAGCAGAGCTTGCTGACCATGCTGCAATCTTACAGAGCACAGCCAGGCCGGGGTCTCTCCTCAATGCAGTAGAGGTAAGCACACCACACACCAAGCTCTAACTGTATCACAAAATATGTGCCGACATAATTCATAATACTGTCTTTCCCCCTTCCTGCAGCATTTGGAACGACGTTGCTCACCAGCCTAGCAACCGACTCACCTTGACACACATAAGCATACACAACAACATACACACTGACACACACATGACACACACACAACAACACATGACATACATGACAACACATGACAGCATCACTGACAACACACATGACATACACATGACATACACATCATACACACACATAACATACATACCATGACATACACATGACAAACATGACATGACACACAACACTACACACAACACACAGACATACACATGACATTACACATGACTACACAAACCACAAACATGACCACCATGACATGAAACAATGGACATACACAGAACACACTAAGACATACACCATGACATACAACTCGACAATACAACATAAACACACACAATACACTATACAACATCCATACAACACATTCTCACAACACACACTCACACATGACACACAATGACATACACACATACATACACAACATACACATGACCATACACATCGACATACACATGACATACACATGACACACACACGACATACACATGACATACACAACAAACCACACATACATACACTGACATACACATGACATCACAACACACTGACAACACGACCAACACTATCATGACATAACACACACATGACCATACACATGACATACACACACAATACACACTGACATACACATGACAACACACAACATACACACATACACATGACATACCTGACAACATGACATACACATACACACACACAAACATACACATGACATACACAGACATACAACATCACATACACAACAACACATACAAACAACACATACATACACATGACATACACACATACACACAACATACACATGACACACACATGACAACTACACACAACATACACATGACACACATGACCTACACCACACACATGACATACACATGACAACACACACATACACATGACACAGACATACACACAACATACCACAACAACAACACATACACATGACACCACACATACACATGAAACACATGACATCACAACATACCATACACATGACATACACATGACATACAACACAACATACACATGACACACCACACAACATACACATGACAACACCATCACATACACATGACACCAACATACAACACACATACACAAACATACACAGAACATACACATGACATACACACGACATACACACAACAATACACCACCAACATACACACGACATACACTACTACACATGACATACCATAATCCAGATACACATGACATACACATGACATACACAACATACACTACATACACATGACATACACATGACATACACAACATACAATAACACATGACATACACATACAACATGACATACACAACATGACACAACATACACTGACATACACACAAAACATACACATGACATACACATGACATACACACACATACACTGACATACACATGACATACACAACATACACAATGACATACACCATGACATACACACACACATACACTACATACACAACATACACATGACATACACACACTACCATACACACAAACATACACATGACACAATACACATGACATCCTACAACATACACACAACATCACACATACACAACATACACACATACATACACATACATACACATGACATAACAAAAACACACACACACCATGACATACACATGACATACACACAACACACACACAACATACACATGACACACACACGACATACACATGACATACACATTACATACACATGACATACACATGACATACACACAACATACACATGACATACACATGACATACACACAACATACACATGACATACACATGACATACACATGACATACAATCGGCTTCCTATTTCGCAACAAAGCCTCCTTCACTCATGCTGCCAAACATGCCCTCGTAAAACTGACTATCCTACCGATCCTTGACTTCGGCGATGTCATTTACAAAATAGCCTCCAACACTCTACTCAGCAAATTGGATGTAGTCTATCACAGTGCCATCCGTTTTGTCTCCAAAGCCCCATACACTACCCACCACTGTGACCTGTACGCTCTTGTTGGCTGGTCCTCACTGCATGTTCGTCGTCAAACCCACTGGCTCCAGGCCATCTATAAATCACTGCTAGGCAAATCCCCGCCTTATCTTAGCTCATTGGTCACCATAGCAGCACCCACCCGTAGTCTGCGCTCCAGCAGGTATATCTCACTGGTCATTCCCAAAGCCAACACCTCCTTTGGCCGCCATTCCTTCCAGTTCTCTGCTGCCAATGACTGGAACGAATTGCAAAAATCTCTGAAGCTGGAGACTCTTATCTCCCTCAATAACTTTAAGCATCAGTTGTCAGAGCACCTTACCGATCACTGCACCTGTACACAGCCCATCTGAAATTAGCCCACCCAACTACCTCATCCCTATATTGTTATTTATTTTGCTCTTTTGCACCCCAGTATCTCTATTTGCACATCATCTCTTGCACATCTAGCATTCCAGTGTTAATACTATTGTAATTATTCTGCACTATAGCCTATTTATTGCCTTACCTCCATAACTTGCTACATTTGCACACACTGTATATATTTTTTCTGTTGTATTTCTGACTTTATGTTTTTTTTTTTTACCCCATATGTAACTCTGTGTTGTTTTTATTGCACTACTTTGCTTTATCTTGGCCAGGTCGCAGTTGTAAATGAGAACCTGTTCTCAACTGGCTTACCTGGTTAAATAAAGGTGAAAAAAAAAAAATAATGAAAAAAAATAAAAAAAAATACACATGACACACACAGCATACACACAACATACACATGACACACACGACATACACACAACATACACACAACATACACACGACATACACATGACATACACACGACATACACATGACATACACATGACATACACATGACATACACATGACATACCACACTACACATGACATACACTACATACCATGACATACCACAACACAACATGACAACACGACATACACACTACATACACACATACCATCTCACACAACATCCACACATACACACCATACACATGACATACCACACATCACTACAACACTACACACAACACACACATGACATACACATGACATACACACAACATACACATGACATACACACATGACACACACATGACATACACATGACATACACAAACACACACGACTACCAGACATACACATGACAACATGACACACACATGACATACACATGACACACACAACACACACACAACATACACATGACACACACACGACATACACATGACATACATATGACATACACATGACATACACATGACATACACATGACATACACACGACATACACATGACATACACATGACACACACACATACACATGACATACACATGACACACAAAATAACATACACATGACATACACATGACACAACAACATACAAACAACACAAACACTAATACACACATACACACACATAACAATGACACATGTACACATGACATACACATGACATACACAGACATACACAACATACACATGACATACACACACTACACATGACACACAGACATACACATGACATACACATGACATACACATGACATACACAGACATACACATGACATAACACACATACACATGACATACACATAACATACACACATACATACACACATGACATACACACATGACATACACTACAACAACAAACATACACATGACATACACATGACATACACACACAATACACAACACCAAACATGACATACACATGACAACACACAACATACACAACACAACATACCACATGACATACACACAGACATAACACACATGACATAACACATGACATACACATGACATACATACACACAATGACATACACACTGACATACACACACACAACATCAGACTACAACACAAGACATACACATGACATACACATGCAACATACACACACACATACAAAAACAACCTACCACAGACATACACATGCAAACACATACACACATCGACATACACAGACATACACAGACATACACATGACATACACATGACATACACAATACACAACATCACATGACATACACACATGACACACTACTGACATACACATGAAAACTAACACACTCACGACATCACATGACATACACATGAATACATGACTACCACATACAATGACACGACACAGCACATACACACACAACTACACACAACACATGACATACCATCAACAACACACAGACACACATACATAAACTACTACACATGACATACACACACATACACATCATACACATGACATACCAGCAACACACACACTCACTGACATACACATGACATACCATGACATACACATGCACATACATGAATACAGAACACAGCTACACAAATACAATGTACACTTGACATACACACAACATACACTTGACATACACATGACACACACGACACACACATGACACACACAACATACACACGACATACACATGACACACACATGACATACAGAAC